TTTTTGGAGAAATGAGATGTATTGGATTTAAAGATGTTAATTCGATTATAGGGAGAAACATATATTTAGACTTTTGACATAATATTTGGTTACAACTTACAACCAAGCTGTCTTGTAATGTAAATAGTAGCACAATACGTTAGTCTCTTTTCTTTCTCTTTTTTTGCTAATGGCAATAATCCTTATCGCACATGCAGCTTCCCTAAAGTCTTGATCGATGGTCCGTACGGTGCACCAGCACAAGACTACAAGAAGTACGAGGTGGTTCTACTGGTTGGTCTGGGAATCGGAGCCACACCAATGATCAGTATCGTGAAAGACATTGTCAACAACATCAGGGCCAAGGAACAAGCCGAACTCAACCGAATGGAGCACGGAATAAGCGCACCACAACAACGAAACAAGAAAGAGAGTTTCAGGACGCGTAGGGCTTACTTCTACTGGGTTACGCGTGAGCAAGGCTCCTTCGATTGGTTCAAGAACATAATGAACGAAGTAGCGGAACGAGATACCAACCGTGTCATTGATCTGCATAATTATTGTACAAGCGTCTATGAAGAAGGTGACGCTCGTTCAGCGCTTATACATATGCTCCAATCACTAAACCATGCGAAGAACGGAGTAGATATTGTCTCTGGAACAAGAGTTATGTCCCATTTCGCTAAACCTAACTGGAGAAACGTGTACAAACGCATAGCCATGGATCACCCTAACACCAAAGTTGGTAAGTTCTCGCGGTTAATCTTGATTTGCCAATATATATATATATAGGAATGTAAATAGTGATTTGATAAATCATTTAAAATGTGCAGGAGTGTTCTACTGTGGAGCACCAGCATTGACAAAGGAGCTAAGGCATTTAGCTTTAGATTTCACCCACAAGACAAGCACTAGATTCTCCTTCCACAAAGAGAATTTCTAAAAGACACACAGATCAATTCAAGGCATAATTAAACAAAAAAATTATATATGTTTCTCGTAATTTCACTTAATTCCCTTACTATTTATGTATACATATATTTACTCTCTTGACTCATGTACATTTCTTTTTATGCATTTTGGTCGTATGTTTGGAAAATGTAACCTTAATTATATATTGTCGACAAAGACGGTGGAAAAAGAAAGAAGCAAAGGTTTTGCAAGTGGAACGAATTGGAAGATTATATACAAAGGGAAGATACGCTTTAGGAGTGTTGAGATTTAAGCTCAAAGACTCCAACTTTTGTAAATCTCTTTCACGTTTTTGTAAGTTTAGATTTGAGAATTGTACCAGAGCTTGCAAATGAAATAAGAATACGTACATGTTTTTTTTTTTTTTGTGTGTGTAGCCTTAAACTCTTGCTTCGAAGTTTAGTAGTTGTGTTTCTTTATGAAGTGTTATATTAAAACATGTCGTACAAGAAGAAAACAATTCGTGCACCCCCGCCACCCAGCAGCGCACTGTACAGAGAAGGGTTCAGCCGGTGTCCACCATCGTCATCGAACTTGCTAATAGTTGAAAGTAATTAGCAATACAATTCTTTTATAAAACATTCTTAGTTATGCATTTTGTAGGCTTAGTTATGTATGCTAGGATTTAGAGGCTCAAAGTCGACAACTTTATGAGCATAAATCACAGCACAAACCAAGCTATGAAGTTGTTGATGTCACAATACGAGACTAACATGAAAACTGAGAGTTACACAAGCCTAAAACAGAGTTTAACGAAAGTAGAGTATGTAGAGATGGAGATAAAAGAGAGAAGGAGAAGATGGGAGTGCACACACACATTTAAGG